AGCCTTCCCACACCACCTTGGCCAGATGTTCCTGCAGGGCTGTCCCCCCCCCTCGGCACTGTGCCAGCCCAGTTGAGCAGCTGCAGGGATGGCCGCAGCCCCGCTCATGACATCCCTCGGTGCTCACTGCAGGGTGGGTGACAGTTTGCCCTTTAGGGAGAGCTTTGTCTGAAGCTGCCCTTCACCTGGTGGGTTCTGCCAGCTGCCCCAGAAGAGCTGGACCCCAAGGAGCCGGGCTCCTGGTGCTGCTGGACCCCCCACACCAGGCTCAGCCTACTACCGACGGCTCCATCAATAATCTATGTGTCTGCGGCCTCTTTCCTGCTTGAGGAAACCCTATGTCCCTCAACAGCATTCACTGCCTGAAATTGTGCAGGGATCCTTCCTTGGCCTCTTCCCCAAATCCCTTCAAATTGAGGTGGTCAGGTAGGAAATGGCTGGGGGCTCATTGCAGGCAGGCAGCATCTGGGGACAGGTACTTAGGGGCAGGGAGGAGGAGGTCTGCATGCACCCCACCTCGTTATGCCCTATGCCACACTGCTGCCCACATCCCTCTAGGCATCACTGCCAGCTCCAGCTGATTCCCCGATGGCTCCTTCAGCCATGGGCATTGCTTGCCCGGGAGCACCACGGGGCACCAAGTGGTACCCTGCTCCTGCTCAGGGAGAACAGCCTTGGTACCGGCTGCGGGGGCTGCAGGAGGGGCAGCACCCACTGGCATCAACCTCCTCGTCTGCCCCCACAAGCACCCTGCTCTGCCAGCCCACGGGCAAGCCCCGGGACCTGCTGCGGCAATGGTATCTTCCCGTACTGGAGCAGTTTGAGGTTGCTGCGCTGTCAGGGGGTTTCCTTCTCCCACGGCCCCCAGAACACCGGCCCTGTGGGATTTCAGCAGTCAGCTTCAAATGGGAAACAAATCTCTCCCGTGGTTTGGGAAAAGACAACCCGTCTCCGAGGGGACTGCATCTCCTGCCAAAATAAAGCCTGTCTGCTGCAAAAGCCTTTGATTCCCCCGCGCCTCCGTGCTTTCTGCAGAGGGAGTCAGCAAACCTGGCTCTTACTTTTTCTGAAATCTATGAATTTAGTATACGGGGAAGGAAGGGGCGGTGGTGAGAAAACAGGCTCTGAAGCATCACGGTTGCTGGAGCCCGCCCCGTGCATCGCTGCAGAAGGATGAAGCCATCGCTGCGTCCTGGTCCTGGTCCCGGTGCCACGGGCAGTGCCAGGGGCGGTGGCAGGGCAGGGGGGCTCCGGGGGTTTGAGATGGGAATTAAAACACAGCAGCAGCTGGGGGCTGTGGGTGCGATGGGCTCACAACCGGCTGCTTTCGGCTGCACTCCTGGCTGGAGATCAGGAGCCTGGGTTGGGGTC